AAAAAAAAAGTAAACATACTTCATTCTTTCTGTAGAAATATAATCGATTTCCCCCTTAAAAATGTACATTAATTCGTTGAAAAATAATAACTCAACAATTAGGTGACTAAATAGTAAATCGTATTTATTAATAATTTATCTTATTAGTATGTACGCATATCATACAATGTACTATTAACTACAAATTCTCATCATCTTGTTTATATTTGTTTTGTACTTTCATTATTAACTATTAAAAGTCGTTTGATGACTTTTTAAATAAACATAATTATATTTTCTCTAAATACTTACATTAAATCCTTAATTTTAAAAGCGAAATAACAGGCACAGAGTGTAATTATAATAATAATATCTACTTTTTAATTAAATTCCTTTTTATTGCGTGTTCTAATTATACTATGATATTCAAAAGATCACATTAAAAACATTGACAATACTTTAATTCATAAATGAATACTTGGATTTTCATGATTATTTACCAAACCTAACTTCTTTAATTTGAGATGCGCATTTATCTAAATGTATTTTATTATATAAGTAGACCATTTTCGTTCTTGTTAAGTAGATAATATTAGTCATTAGAGTATAATATATAATATAATAATGGGGAACAAATGAATAATACAAGCAATGTTTTCTTCAATGTCGACACAAAAACGTTGAAAAATGTTAACACTAACGCAGCCACAACATGAAATTCACTTCTGTCGTGTTTTCATAAACGCGTAACTTTCTTAAAATCAATTTATGTATGAAATATAGCGATATCTCAAAATATGGTAGGTARTCTTAAATTCAATTAAAAAAAATTAAAAACCCACAAGTCTAACTTTTTGGTAAAGTATTTTATAATATTTGAAGCATTTATGAGTTTTTATTTTCAACGCATAGTTAACTCTTTAAAATATCTTAGGTTCAAACTTCAAATCACTATTTTTTAAATTATAAATTTTGAACTTTGACGGTTATTATGTCTAGCGATGTGACTTAAGACTTATATAATTATATTTATGTATAATATTAATTATTAATTATTACATAAATAGTTAAATTAATTATTGTTAACGAGGTAAAACGTACCAACATACATTATGTTTAATAGATGTTTGTGGTTTAATGTCCGCACAAATTTAGACTTATTCGTGTGRTTTATTGATTAAACAAAGTAATAAAATCCACTTTGCGCATATTTTTTCTAGGAGAAAACAGCTGCAATTCCAGTGACACGGAGCAAAACCGTCACCAACTCGTGTCGTCCGACCAACATAACATAATGCACAGTGGYAGCTGCGGGGGCGTTGGTGGTGGAGGAAACGCTGGAGGAGGTGGAGGAGTAGGGGGCGGAATAGGAGCTGGTGGTGGAGTTGGAGGCCCACCTCAACAGCGTAGATCAGCCGACATTGATGATATGAGCGGCGGTGGGTGCGGCGATAGCAGCGACGGCGAACCGGACGATGAGCAACTATCCGGTGGCCGAGCGAGCACGTCACCCGCGGCCGCGGCCGGTGGTATGTCGCCGCCTGACAAGAAAAAGCACCGCCGGAACCGCACCACATTCACCACCTATCAGCTGCACGAGCTGGAGCGAGCGTTCGAGAAGTCTCACTACCCGGACGTGTACAGCCGTGAAGAGCTGGCCATGAAGGTCAACTTGCCGGAAGTCAGGGTCCAAGTGAGTTTTTATTTCATCTTAGTTCCAACAGCAACCGTATTATATGCGCATTGTGCAGCCAATCATAATAATATTTTATCATCGCATATGTAGTCCGAAATCCATCGCGCTTCTTTGAAATAGTCCTATATATGGCTACATACATATACCTATACCTTATACCTATATAAGGCTATAGAGTCAAAAGAATCGCGCGATTCAAATATCCATCGAATCTAACCTAGTATTCTACAGCATGATATAATATTATAATATAACTAAACCTACCGTTCATCATTTCCGAGTTCCCCAAATTTTGGTAATAACGACTGCAATTCGCGAATTATCTCCAGTGTTCATTTTTTTTTTTTTATTAATTTYGGTAGGATATTCAAAAGTTACAAATGTGGTTAACTCACCCTTATCTGTGTAGTATATTGTAGCATTAACATTAMGGAATTGARAAACTTAATTCTGTTGTTAGAATGCTTATCGTATCTTWAAGTGCCTATACYTATCAGYAGCCGTCGGAAACATTCTTGAACTATATTTGTCGCATTTGTGATAGGAAAATACAGCCAAAGTAGGTATGTATAAGTTATATCCAATACTTCCAGTATCCATATTACAAAACTATTATAATTATAATTTATGAACATTTTATATCGGATGTACATGATATATACATGGTATATCGATATAATAATATAATAATATGATTTTACAGTGAGTACTGAGTACTACACTAGTAAATTTTGATTTAACATTTTAACGTGAAGGCAGTGGACGTATTACATTTATATATTATATAAAAATAACAGTTGGTTTTTTTATGTTTCACTTCAYTTTACGTTCTGTAAACTATGTATTATACGTTTTAATACGATAATCAATAAATAATAATTATGGTTATTACGTGTCTCCCCTTAATTTTTTTCATATATTCCATAATTGTCAATAATATAATTGTCTATATTATAATATGACCATAGACAATAGATTTCCATATTAACTTACTACTGACAATATTTCATTGTTTTAATCATTATCTTCGTTATCGAAAAAGTATTGAATACCATTTAATTGAATAGTTATAATACGTCTCATAATGATACTGTTAGATTACTATTAATTTACATTTCCATTCGTGTATGTAGCAATACAATTTTCTGACGTTATTCCCTGTAACATTCATAGTTTAACTAAATTAATTATGTACGATTGGACAAAATTCTATGAACTTCACTGTTATAACTTTTAATTATTAAACGAATTCTATGAATTATTTGAACCAAGTGAATAGAAGAATATTTGTACAATATCTAATAATTTACATACTAATGTATATGTGCAGTAGTTTATTGTTAACGTTAAGTGAATTTTGATGTCATGAAATCAACTTGGTTRTTTTCAACTAAATATCGTTTGAGGTGTGTACCCAAAAAAGACAAATAACACAATTAACAAGATAAGTTTTATCTAAAAAAAAAATATTAAATTATGTTTTGTTCATAATTCATTATATATATGTGCATATTTTTTTTACCTAATTTAACTCAACAATTTGTTTGTTAATTGTCACACAAAGGATATTAAAGTAATTCAAAAAATTGCATTGTTATACCTACAATTTAAATAATTGATTATAATATTTTATAATTAAAATAAAATACTGTTTGCCGGCAATGTTTATGCAGTTTAAATTATTAAACAGTGTTAAATCGTCAGATGTCATTAATAAGACTTACAGGAATCCAAAGTATTGCGATTACAATAAATAGTAAATAAATTACGATTTTCACAATTCGAATTACGCTACCTATTTATCAAATATCATATTCTAAATTTATTGAATATATATGCATTGGATAAGGTATATAGTATATTATTATGTTTCATAATTTAAAAATAAATATAATATAGGTATATTGATATTTGGTARTTTAAAATTATTCACTTACAATAAATTATTAGTAGTACTTTAACATCATATTATCAATTACCTATCATTTATCATKATAAATCAATGATGCTATATAAAATAAAATAAAGCCTTATTTTAAGTTCCCTATAAATCAATTACAAATTATAGCTAAGTACTGTTTTACAATTTAATAATTATTATGATTTTCCCATCGTAAACATTATAAAGAATTATACAAGATGATCCATTTAACTGTTTACCTAAATTTATAAGTAATTACTAATTACTAATTAGTTATAAATATTTATTTATTCTATAAGATGTATTGATAATTTAAATATTCTAAAAATGTAATTAAAAAAAAAAAATTGAAAATCACATCTAATGATTTATCAAAAACAAGCGAAACAGGTGTATTCCATTAATATTTAATGAATGACAAAATAATTAATAAATTACAGCTAACAAAAGAACATTTAATCATATTGCTAAATGTTCAAATAATAGAGGTATAAAAGTGCATGGGCAAGTGTGTACATATTCAATTTTGTTTTATAATTAATATAACTATGAACTATATAATAAGTTATAAACTGTGATTTGAATGAACTATACATTATTTCTGATTGCTATCTAAAATCGAATTTTGTTATTTAATTATCTTMGCTTAATTGGCACTGTGATTAAATTATAATTTGATTAGTTGAATATAGTTAACGTAGATTCAGAATTTCCACTGAACAGACAAATATGATATGTTACATGTGTGCGCGTATTATAGCGTATAGGGCAAACATATACGCGTGTGTGCGTGTGCACCTTGATACCTCCTCAAGAGTCTTTAGTTAAATTATATAATGGATGTGACTATACGTCTGTCATGATCATTTAAATGCATCCACAAATCCCTACCCTCTCTATTTACGTTCATCGTATAAAATTATTAGTATCGTAACCAAGTATTTTATTCTGATGTTGTTTTACTGAAATATCAAAATTTAATTTTTATTTGTTATATTAGAAATGCATTAGGTAACTGATATATTATAATTAAATAATAAATTGGGAAAGAAATCATTAGATAAATAAAAATACAAGACGGTATTACGCGTACCTCTCGGCATTAGTATAATATAGTGTTTTGTATAAGAAAGAACACTGCAAGTTGCAATATTGCATCACATAAATACATTGTAGGACAGAGTTTTAACTAATTCCGTGTTTACTGAAGGAACAACAATAAAACTTTTAAACGACAAAGACAATTTAATTTATTTTATTTTTTAGAATWAACGCCAGTCTGCTTTTTAAAATACATAGAATGTAAATACAAAGATAAAAATATGATTACAGTATTGTTTACACAGGAGTACAGGACTAAACTTAATAATTGAGTAGGTATAATAAAAATAATATGATGTGAATCGTTTATAGGATGAGAAAAAAAACCACTAACTCGGACAAATTTGTGCTTCCGTAGTCCGTAGTCTGTACTTAAATAATTGTTAGAGGTATTAAAAGAACACTGTAACCTAGTATCACTGGGAATACGAAAATCTAGTAATCTAAGAAGTCTGGAGGAATAGACTCAACCTGACTACGGTGCATGACCTATATATTATATTATATTTATAGGTAGATATAAGTTAGGTGAGTTACTTTGGTTAAAGTAGGTAAGTTAGATTATATATCTACATTATATATAGTTTTTGAAAATATCTCTTATTTCACGGCGTTTTTTTCAGGTCGCGTATTGCTATTGTCTCTGTGGAGACGAAAGGGGAAATATAGAGGGTGTGGGTTTATGGTGAAGATGATGATGACGGGGTGGTGAGTGAAAATTGCCGTTAATCGTATCATATTTACTCGGTCGCGTCGACGCGTTTGCTAGGGACGGGCGGGGGAAAAAACAATCGCATTTTCCGGTACGCCGCACCGTCGTCTCCACCACCACTATGGCACTACCACGCCGTATGTATAATATGTATCCATTATATATCCTGCTGCCCGGCACACTTGACTCGTTTCCCACAAGAATGTTTTCAGTCCGCCGACACACTATTATTTGTTACGACGAACATTAGGTATATTCGCAGGCAGTTTATRTGTTTGCGTGTGTGCTATATTATCTTATATATCTACTAAAACCACACAATTGTTGTTATTCTTGTTATTCTTGATGTAATAARCGTGATATGATGCCCGTAGAAAGATCTGCAAAAAAAWCGAGACGACGTCTCATTATAATATAATACATTATAATCGCTTGCGRTGGGGCTTCACACACACACACAATATAAAAGAGTGGTTCTTGTGGTGCAAAACAATCATTATTTGGGAAATTCATTATTTTCCTACACAAAATTAGTCATTTTAAAAAACTTTAAGGAAAAATSTATAATTTTAGCATTTTTTAAAATATTTACTTTTTAACGATAACATATTTACATGTTTTATTTAAAATTCTGAAGCAAAATATTTTTTACTACCTATTAATTAATTACTTAAAAACCTACTATACAGTAAGGTGACTTCTCGGTGTTTTACATGATATTTCATCATTATTCATAAGCAATATTATCAAACAATAATCTTATATAATCATTACACATCAATGAATATCGTATAGGTATGTATGAAATATGGATATTAGATTAGAATTAGTTCAATACGTATGCTGAAAGATTTTTCTATAATCTAAATTCGAAATCTTTAATATTTAATCATTACTTACAGACTATTATAATGGCTACGACTTGAATAATTAATAAGGCCATAATAAGGGTAMYTACCTACAATATTTATTTACAACAATATGAATAGGTACAAAATACACTACAAACATTTCATAAAATTTTATAGTTTGATTACAAATAATATTGTAGTTAAATAATATTCGTCCCTAATATCTAAAATTGATTTGTACAAATTATTTACCATTATTATTAATTATAATTTATATTACACTTGAAAAACGGTACAGCTAGGGTGTTAAATTGATGTATTTACCAATTACCACGTTATTATGTCTGATAAAATGTCTATATTGTTGTACACAATATCTATCTAGAGTCTTAACTCAAATTTAATGTTGATG